CTGATTTGTTAAATAAATATTTTTCTATACTTTTAACTTTGATAATTTAGCTTTGAGGATTTATTTCTTATATACTCACCATCAGCTGTTGAACAATACTCAATAAGTAGTGAAGAGCTTAATAGCACTGAGGAGAATGTTTTGATATTTGATCATCATATTAATGATTTTTTTGAATACATGATAGAAAAAAGACCCCAAAATAGTCAATATGATATGCTTTATGAAGTCAAACAATATCTTGATAAACATCTTGTTCCTAAAGCTATAAATGTTCTCGAATAGTGGAGACTTAATGCAAATTGCTTTCCAAATTTGTCTGTGATAGCACAGAATTTTCTTTCTGTACCAGCAACAAGTGTTGTATCTGAACAGATGTTTAGCTATGCTAGTTATATTATTGATAATGATCGTACTTTGCTAGATTCAAGTACAATAACTGCACTAATATGCCAGTAAAATTGGCTAGAAGCAGTAACTAAATATGAATAGGATTTATAAATTTGATATTTTTTTTGTAATTATTTAACTTTAGTGATAATGTTAAATAAAACTTGAGCAAATTATACATGTATTATTAGGGTGTTCGGTATACTATGTAAATTAAAATTATAAATAGTATCATATAAAAAACTATTATTTGATTTTGCTTAAGTACTATAATAATTCTTCGCAAATTTTAAATAGATGTATAACCCTAACGGCTTGATAGTTTTAAATAAAATTTTGTAACTACTAATATTATGTCACTACAAACTTTGTAGTAACATAATATTAGTAGTTACAAAATTTTATCTAAAACTATCAAGCTATTAGAGTTGTATATCTATTTAAAATTTGCGAAAAATTATTATAGTACTTAAGCAAAATCAAATAATAGTTTTTTAAATAATACTATTTATAATTTTGATTTATATAGTATACTGAACACCTCAATATGATATAGCACGATTGACTGAAAATTTTAAAAGTAATTTATCGTAATTAGTAATTATAAGCCTATTTAGGATTTTTGATAAGAATTTAGTAAATATTAAAATAAAGTGATAATGAAATCAGAAAACTATAAATTCATAATTTTTACTAATAAAATCGTTAAAAGATAAAAAATTAAATATTATTTATAAGTATAATAAAACAATTAACTAATCAATAATTAAAATTAGTAGAAGAATTAATACAATTTATAAGTAATCTATAACAAAGAAAAGCAATTAACTAATCTATAACAAAGAAAAGCAATTAACTAATTAAATTTAATCATACAATTGAATTTTATTATACTTTTATATTTTACTCCTAGCAATTATATAATATCACTTAAATGATCGATTAAATTTAAATAATCAATTAAATTTAAATAATCACAAAACAATATCAATATAAAAAATTGGAAATTTTTGCTTATATGTTTACTGAAGCTTGCATAAAATTATAGGCTCATGGGTAGTTCATAAATACCCTCAGCTTACATGGACTAGGCTAGGGTATTAAGTTTTAAGCCTTAGGGTAAGGCTTGAGCTTAGATGTTAAAGCTCTTATACAGACAGGTTGAGCCTAAGCATATTCATTACCTGGTCCTACCCAGCTCATGCAGAAGCCTATTAGCAGACTTATAACCTATCTTAAATTGTTTTTTCTTTAACATTATAATCTATTCTTATTGCCTTATAATAGTATATCAATTGCTATTCATATCTTCTCATATACTTTTTTTTTTTTTTTTTACTTTATACAAATGCTATTGGCTAAACTTTATTAATTTTATATATTTCAGAAGTGATATATATTGTGAGAGTATAACTAGCCACATGTATAATTTTAGATTGTCTATTTTAAGTAGTTCATCTGAAGGTTCTATACTAGCTACCATACCTGAAATCTCTTAGAAAATTCCCTATTTAAACTCTTTGACCTTATTCCACTTATCACAAATATTACTCTTTTCTCATATACTTGTAAAACTAGTTTTAATAAAACAAACAAAATAGAATATATGTTTTTACGTGTTTGTTTTCTATTTTGTTTATTTTTATAGTCATGCATTTAATAAAATACATCTAAAAATAGATGTGATAAACAATTCTAATCTTTTGTAAAGAGAAATTCAAATTTTCTACTTTTGTTAATATGAATAGAAAACTGATGAAAAAAAAGTTTGCAATATATAATTGTTTTTCAAAACTTTAAAAAATATGTAAACAAAATATTTAATTATTTCTCTGCTTCTTAAATCTTTTTTTACTAACTTCATCAACAAAGAATTTTGTTTTAAAAATCTTTACTAAAATTTTTTATATAAAAACTCTACTTCTTACTAGTTATCTTATATAATATTATTTTTAATTTACATGCTAAATATACAAAAAAAAATCTAAAAAGAAATAAAACCCTAATTAACCTTTATAAAAACTATTGTTGTAAAAAAATCTTCTTCATCATACTCTAACAAAATTTGTTTTTTTACTTTTTCAATTTTTTGAAAAAAAAAAATTATCAGAAAAAGTTATTGTTTTTTGTAATAATAATTTTTTTATATATCAATATATATTGTATATCAAAATTTTAAAAATTTTAAATAAAAGTATCATAACAACTATCTGATAAAACTTGAAAAAAAATTTTTTAAATTTAATTCTACACATTTATAGAA